CACTGTCTCATACTGGTGGAAATGTTGCTGCTATCACTGATGTAAACGACGATTAAGTGCCTTGCTGAAGGGCACCTTGATGGGCGATGTTGAATTCAAAGCATAACTTCATTCAGTTTCTACATTCACAACACGTCCAGTTATAAGCCACAAGCCTGTCTCCTGTAACCAGTATAGAGGCTGCAGGGCTTCCATGTTGCACAAATGGTTTATATGGCAGGCAAGGACTGTTGAAACTGTGATTCATATTTGGGATGAAAGCCTCTCCAAAGATGCGAAAGCATGCAGAGAGGGGTTTGTGGGTAACAGTGGGTTGAGAAGCTCACAGCAAGACCAGTGCACACACCTTCCAAATGTTAACAACATGTTGTGTAAACCTGTGCGTCAAGCCAGCGGATTAGTTTAGTCAACGGGTGTCAGGAGGCAGGTTCAAAAAGAAAGTGCACTGCTGTTATACAAGTTACAGCCACTGTAACCTCTCTGAATGACCCCTGTGCATGTTCACCTACACAGAAGCATTATTGCAGTTTAACAGTCTCTTGTGTCTAACAAGCCTAAAGCTTTGACTGTGGTCCTGCTTGGCATGTTTTTACATGGACGGCTCCATATTTTGATAAAGAATTTTCTGGAGCATTTTCATGAATCCTTTTTTTTCCTTTTAAAACCCGTCGGAGCTCCTTAAAGTCATCAGGTCATGGATTGCTCCCATTAGGGGAGCCTGGTAATGGACCACTGCATGTTTTCTAATGCTCAGCTCACAGTGAGCGTAATATTCCTGCAGATTCAATGCCTTTGGCTGTTTTGAGTTTAACAATCAGCAAACACATTATTTGCCACAACATTAAAACCACCTGTCTAATATCGTGTAGATCCCCCTCATGCTGCCAAAACACCTCTGATCCACTGGGCCATGAAGGGTGTGTTTAGCCTGCAAACGCATGTTTTGGTGGGTGGCACATGTCAAAGAGACATGCACTTGAATGCCAGGACTCAAGGCAAATTATTCACTTTGCTTGTCAGTGATGGTAATGTTGAGGTTGATCTGTGTACTCTAGTCCCTTCACAGCAAATAATGGAAACTTGCAGAGTTGATATCAATAGCGAAGGAAACCCACTGAGGGAGAGCTGCAAGCTTGAAATACAATGCAAACAAGAGCAGCTGCAAATGCTTCCTTCATCTCACCAAGTCCTTGTATTTCTGCATATATTTAGCATTTTTCATTTTGTCCCTTTTTCATATCGATTGATCTGTTTAGGAAGCATTTTCCACACCTTTTTTTTTTTTTTATCACTAAAGTTGGAATGAGACTGTGGTATTATAAATGATATAAATATTAATTAACTATTAAAAAATACAGTTCACATGAGGAGAAGAAACACTTTCAGCTGCACCATAAACCGAGCGCGTGACTACTGGCAGCCTTAATACGCAATTTAGGAGAGTAGTAATTTAATTTAATAAAATTTGCTGCAGCACTCCCTTGTCTTTGGACAATTTAGCCTGCACATATAATCATTATTTGTCCACAAGCAATTGTTAAAGCAGCTTAGGTGTAGATCCTAGAAAACTGCTTTTTTAAATCATCCAATTCAGATTAATTTTTATTTTTATTTGTTTTTTGTTTTCATCCAGAAGACTTAACCTGTAAGCAGGATAGTCAGGCTTCGACTGCTGTTAAGTACTGTGGCATTTATAAAACAAAAGATTAGCGAGCAAGACAAATCTCTCATTTCTGTTTTGGAGAGACTGTTGTTAATGTGCAGGAGAGAAGATAAACCCTCCGAGGACATATTACAATTTTTAATGCTGCAGCTCATTGGTATTCCCCTCTACCTGTTATTATTTTACTGGCTCTAATCTAAAATGACTTCAGTCATAGAAATGAGCTCGCAGGGCACACACACACTGATAATTTGCTGAGGAAAAAAAAAAAAAAAACAACAAAATAACAACTTGGCAGAGAAGCATTTTAAACTAAAGCAAACAGACTCCAAAAAGCGGCGCTTATTTATTCACAGACGTACCTTCATTTCCATATAAATGTACGTGACCTATAGGAGGCTTGTTTGTTGTTTAGAATCGCTGAGAGAAAGCAAACAAAAATCTAATTTCTTAGCATTTTCCCTCGCGGGCAAAGCATGTGGCCATTATCGTGCCTTGTTAGATATTCTTTGGTCGTCTCAATATCTGATTTTCGCAGGCTGCTATCTCAAATAACGGTGTCTGTGTGAGGGTGTGTGGAGGTGGTTTTTGTGAGGACTTCCATAATATTGACTTACAGCTGTCATTGTCTTTCCACTTACTGTCGCCGCTGCGTCTCTCAGGTGCCAGCGTGGAGCTTTTTCATGACAGAAGCACAAAATGGCTTACTTCTCCGGTGGATGGCAGATGGTTTTTCCACTAAAATGGAACTCAAGCAATGAATAACACAATGAATAATAAGTTGTTTATTCAGTTATTGGGCCCAGCGGCGGGCCTTTGCCGAAATTGTCCCCGTCTCTGGGGAGCTCACGGTTTCTCACATCGAAGGCTGCGTTTTTTTATGTTACGCAACATCAGAATTAGGGAAGGTGTCATGGGATCCCTAGTTTTTTTGTTTTGATGAGGTGCCAAATAGGACAGACAGCGAGCAGGGTAATTCTTTTTAGTTAAAAGACTGTCAACGCGACGAGTGAATATCACACCGAGCATTTGTTTTCTATCAGGAGATGTCACTGGTGTTTAATGAGTTCTGGAACATCATCGTGCTCATCTGACTGCTGCGCGCAAACTGAACAGACGACTGACGTTTCCTCTTGTGAGCAGTTAGATTAACGACCAAAATGATCCCTTACTGGCAGCCATTTTGCTTAATCCAGCGATAAACCTTAAAATCAGCCGTCTGTATCTGTGTCAGTGCCGTTGGCCACATCTGTCACGTTGAGGAGCTCATCAGAACCTAATTAAAGATAAATATCCGTCCAGCTTTGTGATTGATACTTGAGGGCTGCAAATGATTATAATTTTGATTAAAGCTGCACTAATCGATTTTTTTTTTTTTTTTTACATTAACGGATCAAATCAAAATGTGATGAGAATGGAGATGCTCTAAAGAATGAACCTGCAAAGAATTCTAATCTGATTTCACAGTTTTCTCGGCTCTACTGGCCGTTTTAGTGTCTTTTGGCTCATTGTCTTGGCTTTATGGCCCACAACTTCGCTGTTCTGGTTCGTGCTCTCATCTTGCCTGTGCTTCCAGTTAAAGACAAAAATAAACCTGATAAACCCACAGAGCATTACCTTTATGTTACGTTTTTCTCAGAAATTAGTGGACTGAAACACAGGAGGATGAATACAGGTCATAAATTTTTCAAGTTGCATGAAAGACAGCTTCAGTAGAATGCTAATGTTGCTCTGTGCCAGCTCGGTGCACAAATAGGTGACAACACATCAGCCACAACAGCGAGAGAAGGTGATAGCATCTCAATGTTGTGTTTACAGTTTGTTGTTCTGACACCAGAGACCAGAAACATCTATTGGTGCTGCTTTAATGATGTTTTTGATCATTCAATTAACCACTTAGCCTATAAAATGTCAGAAAACTGTGAAAAATGTCCACCTTAAAATTATTGGGGGTGTTCCAAAAAAACAAATATCTACAGCAAACTCCATATTCCTACATTTTGATTCCAGCTACGACCTTTGCTGCATGTCATACCTTATTTCTCTCCTGTTGTTTTCTGTCTCTATTTTTCATAAAGCATAAACAGAAAACCTTGTTTTTTCTGATCAACATACCCAAGCATGTCAGGTACATCATATAACAAGAGAAAAGTTGCAAACAAGCACATCTGAGAAGCTGCAGTGAATCTTTTTTATTTTTTTAATTTATTTTTAATGCCTTTGGAGAAAGTTGTGGCCGGAGACATTATATGTTTGGGGTTATGCATCTCATTCTCATGAGGATTTCTTTGAATTTGGTTCAAACATCCACTTGGACTGAAGGGTGAACTGGTTAGAATTCAGTGGTTACAGGTCTAAGGTCACTGTGGTCTTACAAAACGTGTTTTTGACCACAGCTCAATAATCCATGTGTTAATTATGACAAAGGTTCACACAAATGTCTGATAAGATAAAATTATGAAGTGGTGACATTTTATATCCAAAAGGTCAACATCATAATGTTCTGCAAAAACACTATTCTGGCCATTATTCAACACCATAAATGAAGAACAGTGGGGGAGATTACGTTTCACATTTGATCACATACTAATTTAGTGGCACTAATCTTTGATGTCCACCTTTAAACTGTGACTGTATGTGTAGATCTTCTCTGCTGCTGGGTTTAAGATGTGTGTGAAACCTTCACATTGTACAATTTGTAGCTTTTTTGCAGAAACATCCATGTTTGAAGCATCATCTGCTATCATGGCTACAACTTTGTGTTCTTTCAGAATCTGCTTTATTGACCAAACGTGTGAACACATACAAGAAATCTGACTCTGTTTTTAGTTTTTCTCAGATATTTTACACATTTTCAAGTCTTAACTACATACAATATAGTGTATGAGTCTCAACAGTCATAGCTATAGAGTCCAACTTGACTGGTTGGTGGAATCATACAACTGTGAGGCCATAATTCTAGTTTGATTGATTAATGCCTTATAAAATATGAATACATTGTCAAAGCTCTTGTGGATGAGTTTCCTCTACTCTTTTCAGCACTTTCAGGACTTTTTGTTTTAGTGAAACATCTGTTCTACTTGTTCTGTAGAGCGTGCCAGTCTTCTCAGTGCAGGGTGTGAATTATAGTTCCTGATTAAAGCAGACGACGGGTCTTTGTGAGTCGATGCACAGAGGTCTGCCAGTAATCCTTAATAACAACGGCACAACCCCAATGTTCACAAAGATTGTAATAAGAAAATGACTTAGTCATGTGTGCAAACTCATCATTTTTTCTTTGCTTTTGATGCCCACATTTCTGTTTTATCTGTAATTTCCAGCAGTGAGAGAGGCCATCATGAGGCTAATGTGGAAGTCTGTGGATAAGATGAGGTGCTTCAGGAAACGATCCATGCTTCCATTCCTCGGCTTCCTCGTCACCTTCCTGCTCTTTTTCAACCTGTACATGGATGATGGATATGTGCTGGTAAGTTTCTTACCTTTGAAATGTTGAGACCAAACCATTTCATTGTTTTTTTTTAGTTATAGCTCTTTTGTTCAAAGTGTTCTTACAGACTTATTTGTAATTTAGGAGGCTGAAAAAAGACAGCTGGGAGAGACGCTGATTCATCCTCCAAACTCTGAAAGATACGTCCACACATTCAGAGACTTGTCCAATTTCTCTGGGACCATTAATGTGACGTATCGCTACCTTGCAGGAATTCCTTTGCCACGCAAAAGTAAGTGTTTTTATTAGACGGATACCAGTTTCAATATAATTTATGACTAACAATGAAACATGGTGTAAATAAATGGGAATTGTTCCACACAAAAGTGACTAAAGTGACTTCTTTTCACAGAGTATCTCACCATTGGGCTGTCATCAGTTAAAAGAAAAAGAGGAAACTACCTCCTGGAGACGATCAAATCCATCTTTGATCAGTCCAGTTATGAGGAACTGAAAGAGATTGTGGTTGTGGTGCATCTGGCAGACTTCGACCTGGTCTGGTGTGAAAACTTGGTACAGGAAATCACCAGGAAGTTTGCTCATCACATCATAGCTGGACGCCTCCTGGTAATCCAAGCCCCAGAGGAGTACTATCCATCTCTGGATGGGTTGAAAAGGAATTACAACGACCCGGAGGACCGGGTCCGTTTCCGTTCTAAGCAGAACGTAGACTACGCTTTCCTCCTCAACTTCTGCACAAACCTCTCTCACTTCTACATGATGTTGGAGGACGATGTGCGCTGCTCCAGGAACTTCCTGACGGCGCTGAAGAAGGTGATCACCTCCAGAGAAGGTTCTTACTGGGTGATGCTGGAATTCTCCAAGCTGGGCTACATCGGGAAGCTGTACCACTCCAGGGACCTGCCGCGCCTGGCTCATTTCCTCCTCATGTTCTACCAGGAAATGCCCTGTGACTGGCTCCTCATCCACTTCAGGGGTCTTCTGGCCCAGAAGGACGTGATCCGCTTTAAGCCCTCGCTGTTCCAGCACATGGGCTATTACTCCTCATATAAAGGAGCAGAGAACAAACTGAAGGATGATGACTTTGAGGAAGACTCCATAGACATTCCTGACAACCCCCCTGCCAGCCTTTACACTAACATCAATGTCTTTGAAAACTACGACGCCACTAAAGCTTACAGTAGTATCGTTGATGAGTATTTCTGGGGGAAACCTCCTTGCACAGGAGACTTCTTTATCATTATCTTTAACAAATCAACAAAAATCAGCAGAATTAAAATCGTTACAGGTACAGAGGACCGACAAAATGACATTCTTCACCACGGAGCTCTGGAAGTAGGCCAGAAGTCTGTGGAAACTAAACAGGGAAGACAGTGTACATCCTACATCACACTGGGGGAGTTTAAAGCTGGAAACATTGAGGTTAATAATGTGGACCACAAGATCGGCTTTAACATCGAGTGTGTACGAATAGTTGTCACTGTCAGCCAGAAAGAATGGCTCATCATAAGAACTATCAGTTTATGGACGGCACAACCTGTTAGTCAACTAAATAAGTAACAAAGGAAGTTTTTGAACGATTATCTGTATGTAGTAACTTTGAATGCAGATGCTGTGAGTTCATTTTGGACTTCTGCTGTTTAGTGAATTCAGATCAATCCATATTTTCTTGGGTTGTTCAGAGATTTGCTGTATGTTTTCATTGTGATGTATTGAAATAATCAATGTGTATAGTATGGAATCTTTCTACTTATGTTCATTTTCAGAAAATCTGTATATAAAAATATTCATACTTGGCTGGCATGTTCTTTTTTCGTCTGTCATGATGCCTAAAGGGCTATTTTACACAATCAGGGCTTCAAAACATCATTGCCTAGTTTCAAGCTTTTTAAATCACTGCTATTAAAAACACAAAAATATATATTTTAAGAAGACATGAATATATAATCTGTGGTATTTGAATCTCTGAAAAATGAATAAGGATGGATTCACTGGTGCACCAAACGACTGTGTCTATCATCCAACAGTAAAGACAACCAAAAAAATGTGCAATTAGACTGACTCTATGTGTGACTGAAGTCTTGTGAGTTGTTGAGGTTAGGGCTGTCAGAGCCTTGAAACCTGCTAATGAGATTAAAAAAATAATAATTCTATTTCCCATCCAAAAGTGTAGGACCATGCTCATAAGTTATTTAATATTCTTAATAATAACGAAGCATACATTTCTTCTTCTTTCTGAGTCAAAAATAACCCAGCTGTGCAAAATGACATTTATCTCTTACAAATCAAAAACCGTAAGTCATTCTGCATCGAAAACAATTGCCTAATATGCGTATTCTTAGCTAATTAATTAAGCTAAACTAATTAGTACTGGGCATCCATTTTATGGTTAGCTAAGCTACAGCTCTCTTTTAATGTTTCCATGCTGATGACAGCTGTGATTGTAGCCATCTGTCCATATGTATGTGAACACGATATCTGTTAAACAACTGAAAGAACATTTCTGCACAAACATCCACATGGACTCAAGAAAAAAAGTGGTTAGAATTTGTTGGTAAAAGGTCACTGTGACCTCACAAACACATTTTTGGACATAACTTAATATTTCATGTTGTTGTCATGACAACCCATCAATATTTGATAGAATAAACTTATGATGTGATGACACTTAATATCCCAGAAGTCACAGGTCAACTTTACACCAACATCCTAATGTTGTGCAAAACGTCACTTTCTGCTAATTATTCAGCAAGAAAAGAAAGAGAGATGCATGTAAGCTGCATTTTGACTGCTTGGTGGAAGCATACAACCGCAAGGTAGTAATTCTGACTTAGTCATTAGGACACATCTGTTGAGTTTTACATGAACAGTATTATTCTCCGTGAACTCGGATTTTAACTTCAGCTGAATTCAGTTTGGTGTCCTTTGCTGCCATCTGTTGGTAAATTCAGAAACTGACAAAGAGAGATCAACCATAGGCGTTTATATGCAGTATAAGTGCCCAGATTATTCAATTAAAAATGAAGATTACATTGAAATACAACCTTCAAATAAACTCCTGCTGTTAACTGTGTCATTATTTTTGTGAAATAACTTGTACTCCATTTGACGCCATCATTATGTTTGGCCTTTTCACAGCAGGCATTTTATAAAGATAAGCAAAGGTGTCACTAATCATAATGCATAATACATGATAATGTAGCCCTAATATATAATAACCATGCATAATGCAATCGTAGCTATTTTATTTATTTATTGTATAATTTATTTAAAATATGGTTCTTTCAATAATACATAGCGAATATAAAATGACAACGTATAAACATATTAAAGCAGTAAATCTGTCAGGACATTTTTTATTCATGTAGCTCACAATGAATCACACATTTGCCTCAAAGGTTTTAAAATCTTTGCAACATACGACATCTGCTAAAAACTCTCCCCAGAAACTTTAATGGGAAATAGAACATTTCATTGAGATGAGGAAACCCTCGTTCAGACAGGCAATAAATGTTGTACACAGTAGAAATAACAATAATAAAATCAGGATTATGGAGAAGCAAGCTGGTATCATGAAGTAAATAAACACATTTAAATAAACAATTTGTTAAGATAAATGAACATTTGTGAGTATTTATGGTATAACATATAGGAATCTGTGAAGACTGTGTCAGGTCTGACAGAGTTACAGGTGTCATCTGTGCTGCAGCCTCTTCTCTGTTTGACTGCCCTTCAGGTGTTCTGGTTGCCAGTAAATAGCAGATGGTTTGGCTGCTGACAGAGCCAAACTCAAAATGAGTTTTCAAGTGAGAAATAAACTCACCCACCAGAGATCTAAATTCATCCCACTCCTCTAAGTTTGTCACAATGACACTGACACGTGGATCTGAAGTTAATCCAGACTTTTTAAATCATCCTATGCACGCTGTGAACCTAGTTTTCAGCAGCCACCTTCATGGATTTTCAATCACTTTTCAGTTCATACACGTTTCAGAATTTCTTCACCTTTTGTTCTCTGATGTCTTCCTTTTTAAATCTCATATTATTCTCTTTATAGCTGTCCCCAGATCTCCTGCTCTCCTGCCTTTCAGTCAGATGCAATTTCCCTTGTAGTATTTCTCTCCTCATTACATTCTCTATCACCTCTTGTTTTTTGTTTTTTTTACCACCTACTGCCTCCCTGACCTCCTGCTGATATGTAGTTCAAATCCATCTTTCATCACATTTTCTCTGCATTATTATCTCTTGATCGAAAAAACAACCAAAACAAAACAAATATATATATATATATTTCTTTAAGAGAACTGATTTGTATTTTTATCCATATGTAGGGTGAATCTATTGTTATGTTATACAGTTGCTATCAGTCTATCTATGCTGAAAAAAAGACAGGATGTTCATTATACTTGTTTATCCTCAGAGCAACAGTGGAGATCATTTGAGATTGCTAAAACAAAAGGCTCCCCTCGTTTTGGGTGTATGATCTGTATTTTAAAAGGAATAATGTGTGCTTAGATTTTTTTCAAGAATTTTTTTTGAAAGCCACTGGTTATTGATTAAACCTCTAAAAAGTAATTTCTGTTTATCAAAGTTACATAGTTAAAAGAATAATGATATGTAAACCCTGACAAGTTGACAGGATTGTTTCCTCAGGTTTGTCATTCCAAGGTGGAGATGACATCTTGTATACACACACACACACACACACACACACACACACACAGATAGATGACTAGATTATTTTACTGATCCCCTGTATGAAATTGCAGTGTAGGAGAACAGTTTACATTTTACAAAAACACCCATATAAACACAGAAAAAGACACATTTACTTAAAATAGAATAGAATAATGAAAAGGGATTTAGAATAGGATAAGAAAAAAACTCTGACAGTGTTAAAATTCAGTGTACAAAGTCCTCAGACGATAAGTCTCCTCTTCCTGCACAGAGGGGAGTCATTGAACAGCATTCCTGCAGTGGGTAGGAATGACTTTTTGCTTTCAGTTTTTACGACATCAGAGTTGACGAAGCCTTCAGCTGAAAACACTCTGCTGTCTGATTGGTAGTTCATGCAGGGGATGTGAAGTGTTGTCCATTAGGATGAGCAGATTGTGCAACATACCTCTCTCAACATCCAATTCCAGGGTCTCCAGAGCAGCCCAGAGCCAGGCTTCTTCATGAGCATGTTCAGCTTCTTAGTCAGTGGCAGTTCTACACTGTCTGAGTTTTTACTTATCCTATTCTATTTTTTGTCATAAAAAGAAACAACAACAGCAACAACAACAAAAAAAACCATTTGTTTAATTTTAATATAAGGCTAAAAAAAAAAATTTTTAGTGCTTAAATATTATTGTTGTCGTTTTTTAATGTGCCCCTGTGATTAAACACTGCCCCCCCAGTAAAAGCTTTCTAGCACCACCACTGTTCTTAGTGTCACTGATGCTGCTGCTGCTCCAACAGCTGACTGCCAAGAAAACTGCATTTGCTACAACAGACTGGTAAAGAGCTGGCATCCATTGAAGGCTTCCTTGAGAAACAGTCTGCTGTCTTTTCCTGTGGACAGCTTCCCAGTCAGTCCCAGTCCACTCTGCTGTCCAGGTGAACTCTCAGGTATCTGGAGCTCTGCACTGCCTCCACTTCTTCTCCACAATAGAAATGGTGTTAAAATGAGCCTAGTCCTTCCTAAAGTCCACAACCACCACGTTCCCAAATTTTCTTTCTTTCTTTCTTTCTTTTGAAATTAGAAAATAAAAATAACTTTTCAAACGAGTGACGTGGATCAGCGACGTCATGAAACGGCGCCGCTGCTCTGTCAACACAAACAAGCTAACGGTGAAGCTTTCGGAGAAGTTTGGACTCTGACTCCTGCCTCGGATGAGTACAGTTTGGTAAGAGTCCTCTGTCAGTCACGTCTACTACAGAGGATCGCCTGCATCTGTTTTTCTTGGGAGAAAGATGTAGTCTTTTTCTGTCGGGGCTTGTTGAGTGGTTGGCTAATGCAAAGTAAGGCTGCTCCCTGCTAGCATCGTGTTGCTCAACAGTGTTACGTCGTAGTTCCATTAGAAAATTTTGAATTGAGGTTCATTGGTGGGTTGCGACTAAAATGGTGGCGTTATAAAAGAGTCTCTGAGGGGTTTTTAGAACAACACTTTACGGTAATACTCTAATACTTAACGTCCGCACCGTTAGCTCAGCTGGACGTTATTACATAATGCTAATTTAGCTAATACAGCAGAGATGTAGTACCTGCGAGGAAGGTAAGTGCATGCGGTTGTTTGTCTCCTTAATAAACAAATTCTAACCCAGGTTTGGGTTTTTGTTACGGTTTTATACATCGTTTCTACGGCCTGCATGTAGCTATTGGAAGTATTATTGTTGTTGGTTAGCGTGACAGGATGTGTTTGCTTTACTTTCACTTTCGTGAGCAGTTCTTCAGCTCGTGTTCAGTGGGGTACCCCTGTTCATAAACGTTATTTCTGCTCGCTATTGATGGTCTGTCTTAATTGATTGATTTTATTGTTTTTGTTGACATATGTTCGTTGACATGAGTAGTTTTTAATATAATATTGTGTTGCACACATTATTACTGTGGACAGGACAATCAACCTTAAGACACTATCTGACTTCAGAGAAAGACATGTAGGATACCGAGAGAAAAAACCCTCATCAGTCCAAACTAGACTTCTTGGAGCTTCAGTAGAAAAGCAACTGGACTTCGTTTTAAGGTTTTTGAAGATGTTTCACCTCTCATTCAAGAGGCTTCTTCAGTTTTTCAGATCTGAAGAGAACCTAAATGAGAAGTCCAGCTGCTTTCTACTGAAGCTCCTAGGATTATCATGACCTGGATGACAGAGAATCTACACAGTCATCCAATACACAAAAAATGATGTTCAGCTTTTCATTTTCCACCAGGCTCGGCAGAACTGAATGAGGTGCTGCTTCCTGCCTCTGCTCTTTAGTAAGCCCTGCTGCTGCTGCTGCTGGGATGGGCCAGCAGATCTCAGGTCAGGGGGTCATGACCCGTCTGCCTGAGAAGCTGGCGAAACACGCCGGATTGGTACGTGACAGCGGCTACCTTACCTACGAGGAATTTCTGGCAAGAGTGGCTGAGCTCAATGACGTGTAAGTCTGTGGAGGACACATAGCTGTTCAGGAGCACAAATAGCTTTGCTTTGACAGTTTTTTTGCAAAGAAATTTGAGGAATGGACAGGTGGAAGTGTGTGACCTACTTCACAAAGTATACCTTTTGGCTGTTCACTGTTCAGACTGAGAGCTGACTTTCAATCTTATTCAACCATAAAGGATTTGGCTCATTTTAGTCCCGCAGGTTTAGGCTCTGCTTCTGCCAATTTAATTTTAGCTCACTAGCTGTCAGAGAGTAACTTGGAGGCAGGCTTATATGTCTATATTACATGGAATGACATTGTTTTATAGTGGAAATTTTGAATTATTACATTTGGGTGACAACTTTAAAATTGTATCCACAAAATAAACAGCACAGGACAGTTTTGTTGATGTGGACATATTAGAATAATAGTGGTAACAAAAATAAAGTTTCAGGGTCGATTTTTCATTGTAACATTAAGCACTGTGAATATATATTTTAAATTTAGCATATTTACCTTTCTTTGCCTGTGTTTGCATTCGTTGCCATGTTTGTGTGCTGTTCTGTTAACTACTGTAGCGAGCAGCAGTAAGAATTATGCTGAATTGTTTATGGAGTTAACCATAGACTCCCTACTCTGTTGCATCTCTCTCAGTACGGCCAAGCTAGCTGCTGGACAGCAGAAACACCTACTGTTTGAGGTGCAGCCAGGATCCGATGCCACGGCCTTGTGGAAAGTGGCTGTCAGGATCGTCTGTACTAAGGTGAGCCCAGTGAACCCGCTGCACATGCCAACAGGACCATCTGTTCACACCTTTAATTTTGTGAGAGAGGAAGAAACAGATGCAAGTGAAACCATACACCTGCAAATTGTGTTTATATGTGGGAAATCCTGCAGTACACTTGTGTCTGTTTATTATAGTTGGCCTAGTTTATCAGTTGGAAATAGGCCCATAGTAGACAGATGTTGGCCATTTTTGGAAAAACTCAGCAATGTTTCAATGGAATTGGTATTAGAGATCAGGGTAAGATAGTGCCTGTAATTGCTGGTATTTTTTCTCATTATTAAATGGAATTTGAATCTTGTGAAATTATGGTAAGTGTAATAGATAACGACATTTAGCAGGACAAACCAAAACAGAAACCAGATTCATGTGAATAAACATAAAACAGAGCAGGACTTTCCCACAAACATCAGTTTTTCTCAGTTCAAAGTAAGTCAGCAATAGTTGTCGATATAGCCAATTCCTTTTACACAGATAGAATTTGGTACCAACTAACAATGGTACCAATTTGACAACTAGTAAAGAAATGTCAAGTTTTTAAAAAATACTCACATCTGCCCTCTACACTGCATGAAAATTACTGACCAGGGCTGGCAGTACTGAAGTCACCCTACCTCCCTGAGACAGAGAAATATTGTAATAAATAGCTGATGGCAACAGTCACACACCAGCTTGAAATAAACAAACACAGGTGATAGCTGTAAAAAGCCCACCTTGGTTAAACCCAGTGTGTAAAAGTCACACTGCATGTGTACACACATATACAGTATAATATATCTGTGTGCTGTATGAACGATGTGATTGCCTGTTGCTTCCTCCAAGATCAACAAAGAGAATGGCATGGTGGAAGCATCGCGGATCATGAACCTGTACCAGTTCATCCAGTTGTACCGCGACATCACCAGTCAGGCTGCTGAGGTGTTGTCCACAGAGGGTGCCACCGAGTGTTCGTCTGCACAGCTTCCCTCCACAGACTCCTGCCAGGCCAGCATGTGGATGGGCAGGTGAGCACAAGTAGAGTGGTCTCTGGAGCAGTCAAAGACTCCACAACAAGTGCAGCATTTACGTCAGTGTATTTAAAAAGCATAGTTTTTATTGTTAATTGCGAGTTTATTCTATATCCTGTGTTCAACACCAAAAGTATTTCCCTCCATTCCACACACATTTCCAAAGGCTTTATTTGAGGGTTTTCACTGAGTCTTTTTTTGAACTATTTAACCAGGAGCTTGTTGTTTTTTGTGAGTCTCATAAAAAAAAAGAGTAATAAATAATAATAATAATAAAAAACAAAACCACCAACCCTGTGGTTAATTCTTAGTACATTTTGATCATGAGTTACCTAAACATAGAGAATGTTGGAGTTGTGTTTGCCAGGTGATCACAAACAGTAATGTTCTGTGTGTGCTGGATTTACCATAACAATCAGGTGATAATTTATTAACATATTGTCAACTTCAGGTACAGTACAGAACAAATAATTGATTCTTTATTGTCTCATATGCTGTGTAAGCAATATATTTCATGACTTATTTTTCAGCAGAATGACTGTTTATCCCTCTGGATGATTTCCCAATCATAGGTAGAGCTGAAGAGAGGCTGATGGGATTCAGAATTTTCATGCATTTTTATAACACTGAAGGATATACTGTATTTCTGAGGCAAATCCTTAGATTGCAAGGCATCAAGATCCATCCAACGCAAAGCTTTTCGTTCCATAAGTAGATATCCAGCAGTTAGAAAAAGTATCACCTTCCTGCTTAGAAAATAATTAAAAGTTGAACCTTTTTCTGTGTCTGTTTCCGTACAGAGTGAAGCAGCTGACTGATGCGGAGGAGTGTTGTATCTGCATGGACGGAAAGGCTGACCTCATCCTGCCCTGCGCCCACAGCTTCTGTCAGAAATGTATTGATAAATGGTGAGATAATAGAATAAGGTTGAAGTTGTTTCGGCATTTTACTGCTCTACTACTTTTTAAATCATTAATTTTGTCACCAAAAAGTTTAAGTATCCCACGATGCACAGCAGCTGGTATTTACTACACACTCTCTTCTGTTTCTGCAGGAGTGGGCAGAGCCGAAACTGTCCAATATGTCGTCTGCAAGTAACTGCTGCCAATGAATCCTGGGTAATGTCCGATTTCCCCACAGAGGATGACATAGCTGGCTACATCCTCAACTTGGCTGACGAGGCGGGCCACCCACACAGGCCTTAACACACAGAACACTTGTATCTATTTTTTAAATTTTCCGTTATTCTATTAAGATAATTTAATCTGATTGCTGTAGAAATACTGTAGATTACACGCCCAGCACAGCCATCATTGTCTTTGCTTCGTAATGAAAAAAATAATAATTTAAAGAGGCAGCTTTTCAGTTACACCTGACATCTTGTAGGATTACAGATATGGCAAATGTAAAACCACAAAATAGTTTTAGTTTGAATAAGTACTTCTGTTCTTGTTTCTATATTCAGTAAATCCCCCCATGTCACTTTCAGTTGAAGATGATATGGTTTGGTTTATGAGGAATTCATTCATGCTGATGTATTTCATAAAATGTGAATATGTATTAACCTTAATTTTCATGGTGACGAGTTTCTATATTACTGAAATCTAATGCTTTATTTGAAGCTGTATTGAGATGAATTGTTAATTCAGCTTTTTGTTGTGTGACGTTCGGTGAGTTTATCAGTTTGGCTTTTGATTAAGTTCAGATATTTGAACCAGTTTTCCCAAGTATGAGACAGTAGTGATATAATATTAACTTTCAAATTTTACACAGTAGTCTCTCACTGCATAGCTGTTTGATTTCTGTTTTGTTAATAGCCTATAAAACTGACATTTAATGTGACCAAAATACATTTTTTTGGTTCTCAATTCTGACAAATCGCACTTTGAAACCTCAATGTTGCTTTCCGGGTGTGAATGCAGTACAACAAACAGATGGTTCTATCTCTGTGGTTGGAAAATATAATCTGGCACTGTAATCCTTTCACAGCAGTCAAGGCCATGCACAACAAAATATGTGAGATATCTTTTACCAAGCTGATCAGTGAGAGTCTGATCTTGTGGTTGCATGACTGCATGGTCCATTCAAAAATTATTTTAAAAAACTTGTAATATTTAACATTGAGAGCATATCACTATAAAACATCCAAGCTTACATACACACACTATATGTAGTTTGTTTGACATGCAGTGAACATGCAGGCTGCTGTGTAATGTGACGTTGCAACCTTAAGGTGGTAGTATTCTCCTACAATGCTATTGACACGAGTTCTAGCATTATTAAAGGCATTTCATTTGCAATGCTGAATGACAGGAGGTGTCATTAAAAGGAAGCATTCTTACTGTATTATCCTGAATAAAGTCACACTCACTTTTTGCACTTTATGACTTGTTGTGATGGATTGAATGATTTACACCTCTCTGCTTCCTTCGCGGTGTCTTTCATCTTCTGTTGTTGATAAGCTGTATAACTATATGGTCTAAATATATATATATATAATTATACGTTTTTCTATCCTATGTAAACAGGAATATGCAATAAAAACCTAAATGCTTCCATGTGTGCTTTAGTGGTGTTACATTAGCTCCTATATTGTTTGTTTTTTAAATTATATATATATTTTATTTCATGCATCATTTCAGAGGAGTACTGTGTAATTACAAGTTGCAGCACAGAAAAGCAATAATCCTCAAATTAAATAAAATCTAAACTGCTTTTTTTTTTTCTTCTTTAAATAAAAAAACATGGTTTTTCATATGTTAGCATGCTGCTGAGTTCCTTGTAGAGGGCTTGTGCTCTTCAGAGACTTCAATGAGCTGTTCTGTTGTCACTACGCCTAGTGACCAGTTATTCTTACTGAATGGTATGCTGGCAAATTCATCTTCATTCCGGTGAGTACAATTTGAAATGTTCAATACTGTCTATAAGCCTTTTGTATGGAAAATCGTGGAGTTCACCGGTGCAGCACCTTTGGCTAAGCTAAGCTAGCAGCGTCAGTATCGGTGTACTTGACACCGTTGAGCAGAGTCATAACTAAGCTAGCTAATGGCTTCTCTTCCAGTAAGTTTAGGTCACTGAAGCTACAAAACAAACTACAATGTTCACCCTTTCAAGTTTTTATTTTTTTTTTTTTGAGCTAGAACAGCGTTTTTGTAATTTTTCGACCAATATCCACAAAAAAGGAACCATGTAAAGTTTCAAAAGCTTTCAACCTGCCAAAAGCTAACAAGCTAAATAAGAAATAAGGACTGTCATGGTTGGAAGAGTCCTTTTTTTCTAACCTCTGGTTGGTAAATATATTATTAATGTTATTGTTACTAAGCTACAGACAATATGCTTTTATATCTTTAACTCAAGCTTGTAATGCTGGCTATAGACTCAAAGAAAAGAAATAAAGTTCTTGCCACCTTTACCAAACTGGTCTCTAGTTGACTTCTAGAGTAAACCTGAAGCAAAACTGTAAAAATTACAAGTAAAATCTGGAGAAAGAGTAAGAATTAACAGTAGCATAGGGGTGTCCAGGGAATCTGATGGGTAAAGTTCATTTACTTTGTTCCCTCAACCTGTAGCATTGTCCGGATACCTTTTAGAGTTAATAGAATACAAACAAGTCTGCCATTCAGCACTGATATGATGGAACCAGCCATCTTTTTTTTTTTTTTTTTTAGAACGTCTGCACTCCTTATTATTTAACAAATAAATAGCATTCTGGAATTTGTATATGATGTTGAAACCTTTCTGCAGGCTTCTCAATCACATCACGCTAAGTATTTGCTACACTTTTTTTTTTTGTAGTTTTCGAGATGTTTTGCTAACTTTGAAATAAATCCACATGAACTGTAACCTGAGGGACAGACACACATTTAAAGAAAGTTGTTCAAAAACCTTCTTGACTTTTCTTCAGTCTTTATTTTTGATATGAAAAACTATTAGAAATGACAAACAGAAAAAAAAATCATTCTGATCAGCTAGTTGTTTCAATGTTGTGAGCATAACAATGTTTGAAATTGACTTGACCATACAACTCTCACATAGCTAGCTTTAGGAATCTGTCTCAGTGTCTGAATATTTGCCAAGCTCTCGTTCACTTACGTCAAATTCATGCAAATCAGTGTAATTAGTACAAATACGCTAATCTGATCACAACCTCACATTGTACATTTCTCTTCATTTCATTTTAGACCTATAGTACAGAAACAGTCCTATATCTCATGCATATATTCAAGTGGAAAGAAACTAATTTTCAATGAATATAATTTGCATTTGATATATCTAAATCCACCACTACATTTAACACCCGTGAAAGAAAAATAGACCTATTTCCTGAAAAAACAAGGCACATGGTGATTGGCAAATTTCATAGATACAACACTGAATGTGGTCTAAAAATCAAGTTTGTATTATGCATCATGAAATAGGCAATACATATGTCATGTGTTAACACAGTCATTCATAAACATAAAATAGCAGGCACACTATTTCTTCAACTTTAGGTCAGGAGCACCAATAGCAATATGAAAAAAAACAAGTGTTTGTGCTGCCTCGCCAGTGCCCCTTGATCTATGAGGAAATATACAGGCACAGTTTGTACTAGTGTGGTCATTCACTCAGATGGATTTTGGCCACCCTCTGCTTTCACCGCGTCCACCAGAAAACTGAGTTCATTGCACAGAGTCTCGTGCCGGTAGGCTATACGGATTTGTGCCACATTTGTCCGACGAATGTCATTGCCTTGCGGTCCATCTTGTAGGTAGTTAGAGCCAATGAAGTGTTTCTTCTCCTGTTGAAATAAGAGTTAAAAATATGTAGACCAGACACTGCACATAAAAATAGTTTATGAATTTAGCAAATTGCACGGTTTTAATCCAAATCAGGTACAGATTTAGTGACCTAAACAGGGTATGGCTCAGAGTAAATATACCATCTGAAGACAGTATTTCATTGACTCAAACAGAAAGTCTTTAAGAAAATATTTGACAGATTGATCAGTTTACATCTATTTTGATAGACTGTTTTCCTTGCAAAGAATACTAAACATTCCCTTGTCTAACTCCTCAGTCATGAGGTAACAGTAACAATCACTCATTTGAATGACAATTTGAAAACTTCATCTTGGGCTTTAGAAAATGCTCATTGAAATTTTGTTGACCAACCAGTTAATGCAAAAGTAAGTGATATTAAGAAGCTTAAAGCAAGATTTAAGTCTCCCCAGTGTAGTGTTTGGCAAAATTAAAATTAAAATCACGAGGCAATATATATTTGTCCAACTCAGTTCCATCCATCCATACATATATATCTATACATATCTATACACCGCTTAATCCTCACTAGGGTCATGGGGGGGCTGGAGCCTATCCCAGCTGACTCAGGGTGAAAGCAGGGGACACCCTGGACAGGTCACCAGTCTATCACAGGGCCACACAGACAACCAAGCACACTCACATTCACACCTACAGACAATTTAGAATCACCAATTAACCTCAACATATTTTTGGACTGTGTGAGAGGAAGCCGGAGAACCCGTAGAGAACCCACGCTCCCATGGGGGGAACATGCAAACTCCACTCAGAAAGATCCCGGTGCCCCCACAATGACGCGAACCGGCGACCTTCTTGCTGCGAGGCAACAGTGCTAATTAGCAGGACTACTTTATGGTAATGCTGTTATCTAAAGATTAGGATTTTTAGATTAGAATGTACAAAGTGGGGAAACCTTGTGTTCCTCTGTTGTCTACTTTTCTAGTTCTTAAACTGCAACAGACTGAACAAAAAAAAGAAAGAAAAAAAAAAACTTTGGCTGTACCTGATGTGAGAGACCGCTCTGCAGAACACTGTTCCTGGCAATCTCACACAAATCGCAGGTGCTCAGCTTCCACAGCTGGGCTGCGATGGCATACTCCTCCATCAAGGCCTCCTGAAATGTTTTATCAACAGATGTTGTCAATTGTTTTGTTAAAATTTTACTAGGCTGACGAGTTTAGCACTTTTCAACAAGGCTATACAAATAACTTGTACTGTAGGTGAGATCCTGCACTACATTCTGTGCCATATAGTGATATTTATTACTTGACTCAATGACAAGATGTCTCTGGACAAGTGTGACCACGACAAATTCTAAAATTTAGTTTGATTATTGATTAAAAAGAATCTGAGACGAGGCAAAAAAGTATGATCATCCTCTTTCCTGTGGTTCTGACCTTGGTGTAGTGGAACTGCATGGGATCGTCGGTGGACAGTGACACACACAGTCCTTTCTGTAGAAACTCTCGCAGTGGGTTCTTGGAGTACTGCAAGAACAGGCTGTTGTTGCTCAGGGGGGACATTGCAATCGGGATCTGGCCTAGGTAGTACAGATACTGCAACACTGGACTCTGAGGAGGAGGAAGACATGTAGACACACCACAGTAATGTGAGTAATGCTTTATGCTATTTTGATGGATTACTAGAGAAATTTTAATATTTGAGATTAAAGGAATAACATGGAAACTTTTCATAGAGATAAATATCATAGGGTACTGCAAAGTTTTATTGTGATTCCATCTATATCCACTTCATGGATGCGCGTACTATTGCCGTAGCACTGCAGGCATTTGATAAAGAACTGACAAACAGACGATCGCTGCAGTGAGTATGAACAGTGTTAGTCACCACAGCTGATGAGCACAGAGAAAGTGCTACCCACAGACCCACAGAGATGCAGGACTTGGTTAAAATTCTATTTAAAGCAAAAAGAAACTTCTTTTAACTCTATTCAGGACTTTCATGTTGCCATACGTCCATTGGACCCCAAGAAAGAATAGGTGCAAAATATTTGTTGATAGTCATTACAGACTTTTACACTATATTTAATAAATTTTCTGATAAGTTGACATACTTTTGGTTCCAAATACATGATAAATGTCCCTCTTATTATATTAAAAAATAAATAAAAAAATCTTAAAAAAACAAAAGAAAAAAGCAAAAATAACATTACCTGTCACCTAAACCAAATGGCCTAGGGTCCAAAAGACCCCAAAAGTCCTGGATAGGGTTAAGCTCAAAATTGAGTGAATATTGTTTTGTCTTGCTGAAATATCAGCAGCATTTTGTCCTGTTTTGGATAGGCTTTATGATTGTTTTTTTTGTTTTTTTAAAATTAATATTATGTTCGGCCTTCTGCTGCATCTACTGTGGGATGTGTATGGCTATGCTGATGGCAGTAAACCAATAGTAGCCTTAGTAGTGCCAAATATCATCTGTCAGCACCTTGTGCTGTCAACATTCAAAAGACTTTAAGTATGAAACCCTAGTATGAATTTAGCACTGCACCTTCTTGAGGTTGAGCCCGTGGGAGATGTTGTCGGCTGTTAGGAAGGCAGATACCAAGTGGGTGATGGACCCTGCCTCACCACAATGGGGTCGAAATTGGAAGGTGTTCAGTCCTCGCTCCCTGTTGAAAGACACATAATTATTCAGTGTACTGATAGTAGTTGTAGTAGTTAAGTTGCATTTCAAGAAGTTCATTTATTTCAAGTTGTTCAGATTTCCAAAAAGTTGGCAAAGAAGCTGCTTGTTATT